GGTATGTGGTAACCATAACCCTGACAACATCCAACGACCAGATCGACCCCACGATCCCCACGCCCTATTTCCTGCCGTATCCACCCTCACGATCCCGGCCCTACGCCCTCACCACTTCCCGCATTGCCCCCACCAATGCGCTCCTTCCCTCCCCCGCGATCCCGGCCGGCTCCTCCAACACGCGGCCGCTGCCACCAGATCAGCGGAAATCCGCCCGCGCCCCCACCCTCAGCACCCATTCCTCCCGCTGTGCCGTCCGTTGTCGCCGTCGTCCAGCGCCACGGCCGCCGGACCGGCAAGAATCCACGCACGCCCTCACCCCCAGCGCCCCATCCCTCCCGCCATGCATAGGGCCTTCATCCTGCGTCACCGCCGCTGCCGGATCGACGGGAATCCGCCGTGCCCCCACCACCAGCACCCCATCCCTCTCGCCGTTGCTCCGTATCGCCTCACCGTGCCCTTCGTCGTCCAGGACCGTCACCCACGACACCGGCGACGAATCACCGCCATCTTACACTTCCATTGCACCGCCGCCGTCGTCGTCGTCCAACACAGCGATTCGCCCTCCGTCCTCCACGCCCACCGCGCCCTTGCGGCCATTCACGATGGTCCTGGAAGAATGCCATTGCAGCGCCCAAGCTTAGCCTCCGTCATCGATGATGCAGGTCTGCAGCACTACGTCAATATACCTACGTCCATGTCCCGCGCGGCTCATCGCTGCCAACCCCGCCGACGAGGTAACTAGATTTAAAGCTCATTGCTTTGGTTCGATGGATTGACGGCCGGGCAACATGGATCTTAGTTCTTCGTACCGAAGGTTCCAGCAGAATGTTGTTGATCGTGATCTTTGTTAACACAGAACCCCAGTTACTACTACTTTCGTTACAGAGATATACCTTTTGCTTTGGCTCCAGCATACAAAAAAAAAGGGAAATTAACATTTGCTATGAAGTATATAAATTGAACTTGTAGGAACCAGTCCTGAGGGTCAACAATTATGACAGCATTAATAGAGGATGCTGCTGCAATGTCATTTGTAATTGCCCATGGACTTTTGGTAGGTCAGCCTAGCCAGCCATTCGGGTCCCTACAAAGAGAGTTAAGGTTTGGTATTCAATCAAGCTGTGAATATGGTGGTGTTTGGTTCCAGGATTAAGCTTTAGTCCATGTCATATCGGATGTTTGGACACTAATTTAGAGTATTAAACATAGACTACTTACAAAACTAATTGCATAAATGAGAGCTAATTCGTGAGACAAATTTTTTAACCCTAATTAATCCATAATGAGCACATGTTTACTGTAGCATCACATAAGATGATGATGGATTAATTAGGCTCAATAGATTCATCTTGCAAATTAGTCCAGGGTTATCAAATAGGTTTTGCCATTAGTCTATATTTAATACTTCTAATTAGTGTCCCAATATCCGATGTGACAGGGACTAAAAAAATCCCTGGATCTAAAGAGGGTCTATGTTTTTTTTCTACTAGAAAAAAATACCATTTCGTTGCAATGGGTGAAGGCTATTTTAATCTTATTATTGTTATATGGTTTATTTAAGATAAAATTCACTGTTAAATTCGCTTGGATACATAGTTTGTTAGAAAATCATAAGCTGCAATTAGGAATCCGATCGTCTCAGAGTTAGCATGCGAGTTTTCTAAAGAGATTTCCTATACAATTTCTTTTCTATTTCCAAAAGGGAACAAACTTAAAAACCAACTCAAATACATTATAGTTCCAAAAGCGAACGAATTTAAAAACCGACTCATACACAAATGACGTATCAAAGTACCGGTAAAAACATCTTAAATTTTTTATAATAGTAGAGATCATGGTCCAGCCTGAGTTAGAGTTCTTGACTTGAGACAAGGGTACAGCAATAACTGACCAACTGAATATCCTAACTGACAGTCCGATAGTAATTCTTCCAGTACCAATATTGCCCTGTTTAGGATGCCAAAATTCAGAATTAGAAAGAATTATACTACTTCAAGCAGCTTCAAAGTAAATTCCATACTATTATTACTACCACTGTAATTATTCCATACTGTCATAACTACCACTATAATTAGTGCAATTATACGCATAATTGTCTCATAATGAACTATTTGGTTTTGTCGCAGTGCACTTTAATTTGTGCTGTTCAATGCTCGATTTGGGTTGCTGTTAATTGCTGTGGAGTGGAGCTGTATGGGAATTGCTCAATTCTAAACACACTTAGTTATAGGGCTAAAAAAACAAGAATTTCAGGGGAAATCATCCATATTGAAGTTTAGTTAGATTTGCCAACTTATTAACACTCAATCCCTAGGGGGATCAAAGGAAATGTTGTGACTGACTAAAATGTTGGTCGGCCATCAAGAGACACAAACTATTTGGTTTTACTTTGTTAGGATGATTTCCTATTTGCAAGAACCATGCGAGTACTTTTCTTTGTTTTTCCTGTACGGAATTAAGGATTTCTACGAACATGATAAAATATCATCTCTTTTGGATTGTGATTTATTTTAATTGTGAGAATTAACAAATAGTGTATGTCTTAGTCTGAATTTATACCTGAGACTGTCAAAAACAGTTGCAAGGGTATGCCATATGTAGTTGTTAATATCTATGGATCAATCCATGTGGGTAGCCAATTGTACGACATATAGCCATGTACAGGTAAGCCTGGTACATTTGTCAATTGATAAATATATGAATATGTATCAGATACAAATTATTGTTATTTTTTTCCTCCAATCCATTCTTAACTATCTAAACCACTAATTTACATATAAGCACGAAACAGAAAGTAAGCAAGTATCTTAACACATTTTCAGCATATTTGAAATTGATAATATGCTAGACTGATTACTATCTGTAAATAATGCTATACTTTCTAATAAAAAGGTTTAATAACCATGCCGCTTCTTTCATTTCTGTAGCTACTATATCATGATGAAGCAAGTTGGGTATGTCAATGAAAGCCAATTAGACCAAGAGCAGCAGATCTCTGCTTTATAAGGGAGATGACTAATCAGGTTACCCTTAATTCCAAAGTAGTTTTTGCAATGAGGATAGTATTGGATTTTTTAAAATGGTACCGCTGAGTGTGAGATGATCAGTACAGTTGTCAAGAATACACCGCTATCATTTAGCCTTCAGCTTATCAGCATAAGCGATAATTTGAATTTTAAAACTTAATTTAGAGTTGATTTTTAATCGCTAACAAGTTGTTTCACATATAATAAGTTTGAGCAAAACGATGAAGCCTATAAATGTCATTTTCAAAAATGAGATGTGTTGTTTGAGGGGCAGCTTACCAATGTTCTAGCGGAACCAGTTGAAGGTATTTTAGATTCACCCAATGAAGAAACATGCAAAGGTTCTTTAATGTCAGACAAAACCAGCTATTCAGATCTTTAGTGTAATATCTCATCTTTTGAGCTCAATGGACAAACTCAATAATAACTTCTTTTGTAAGCTAGAGCATCATGGTTGAAGTGTTGTTGAATCGAAGGCAAAAGAGGAAGCTCCAAGTTTCTTGATTTAGATGGACAAGTGAGGTGCACATTAAATCCAACTTCCAACTTGATGAACAATACAGGTCCTCGACACTATTCTACTTGATGCCAAGAGTGTGGACATGAAAGGACATATAAAGTCATTGCTAAAGCTACTTTTTTTAGAGAGTCTTGGCAGTTAGTTTTAATGAAAATAGGTGGGTTTTTAAATAAAAACAATATAAATTTGAATTTTTGTGTTTCATGTGTCCTTAAAACGGTCTTTGTGAAGTTTGTTATCATTTGGACTCATTTGGAGAGAACTATCCACAATGGAGAAAATCATAAGCAGATTGTTTCTTGCTATTATTCTGAGTTTTTGAGGTGTCGAATGACATTTTGACCCATCGTTTTATACTAGCAAATGAATAATTGAATTGTTTCAATTCTGTTTTGTTTGCCAAGTTTGATTTTATATGTCAACGATCCAGTAAGAAATCTAGCAGCGTAAACATCCCTATATGTTCTCTACTTGCTAATTTGGGGTGAGACCAATAATTTTAGTTACATGATAGTGATTTTGCTACATCTACCAACATGTAATATCTTGTTCCTACTTGATAGAATTTATGACTGAAGACAAATTTTTGTTTGATGAGATGGTCAAATTCAAAATTGGTATTTTCACTTGAATGATTTTAGCAACACGTCAACTTTGTTAGCTTTAAAATGCTTTTATACCCGTTGCAATGCACGGTCACTAAACTGTAGGATCGAAACACAAGAACTAAGCCAACCAGAGGGGGGTGAATGGTTGGTGTACCCAAAAACCAAAATTTTTAGCGGAAATAAAAGTTACCCTCAATTTCGATGTAGATCGGTCTGACCGGAGTAGTCCCGTCGGTCTGACCGTGCCAGTGCCGCCGGTCTGACCGATGTAGATTGCCCGGTCCGACCGCCCCAAAGTCGCCTTAGCCTCCTGATGCCGCCATCGGTCTCACCGCCGTATGCCCGCCGGTCTAACTGGACCGATGCCGTCGGTCTGACCAGTGGTAACTCGCCGGTTGGACCGCCGCACCCGAGAAAAAACAAATCGAAGAACTCTCAAAGTAGATGACAACTTTATTTCTTCTCTCTGTGTTTACAAAGTGCACCAATAGCACTCCTTACAAAAATCTTGACAAAACTCAAAACCCTAACTAAACAATCAACTCAATTGCTCTCAAAGCGATACTGGGAAGCCTCACGCTCCCTCTCTATTTATACATGAGGTAGGCAGCCTAAAGCCACGAACCAAACTCATACTAGAAGTCCTAATCCCCATAGGAAACCTCCTAGTACAAGAAACAAACTTTAAATAACCAATCATACCAAATTTGGACTCCTTCCAAATTCGACTCCGCATCCCATACGCACACAATACCTCCGTCGTATGCCATATGGAATCTTCACCAACCACGTGCATCAACTCTAACCTAAGTATCCTGCATGATATCTGACCACCACGGACATCGTCTTTCCACCAAGCTGACTCCCGATCCATCACCGCAAATACTCTCCCGAGGCATCGAGTCACCTACATATGCAATAAATAAAGAAACCATATTCCGATACCAAGCTATCCCCAACTTGACTCATTGTTAGCAAACAACAGTATCATATATGTATAGTATCCATCTAGAAGCCATAAACATGAAACAATCACAGATATCCAAAGAAACAACCCGAAACCAAAACCGACACAGCGTCGGCCGGTCAGACCGCGGGCTGGCCGGTCTGACCATTCACATAGCGCCGGTCTGACCGGCAGCACCTGCCCGGTTTGACCGGACCCGACAAAACAGCAACCCTGTTCATTACGTGAAAATCAATCATCTTCAAAACCACTTCGACAATAATCTCCAAATATCAAAACCAATAATCACAGATGCCAATTGTTCATCACATAATAAGAATCAAAACACACGTTCATCTTACAATCTCCCCCTTGATGAACACATTGGCAAACCCATCAAAAACATTTTGTTGTTTGGAAAAATAAAAACAAAAGTGGTAAAAAGCTGGTAAAAAGCACACTTTGTACAAATGTACACATCGTGCTCAAAAATCCAAAAGAAAACTTCTCTCACTTTCCCGTGAATCAAAAAACATGCTGTTCTCAAAAACTCTTCTCTTCTCTCCCTTTTGACAATGATTTCATCAAGCATAGGAATTATGTTTATTAATCTTTAAGAGCTTAGCATACATATAGCATATCAAGTCATGTGTTGCAATAAAAAGAAGATGAACCCATCTATAATATAACAAGCATGCATTAAAGTATAATCATGAACCGAAGATTTTACAATTAAGTTTGAATCAACAATCAAAATTCATGATTTCATACGATTTATAATGCAACATCTTTACAAGCACATAGGTTGAAGAATAAACACTAAACATATATACCTATTGCATTTATCACTCTTTCTCAAATTAGCTTTAGCACAAAACAACCAAGAGAATTTTTTAACTTTTTCTTTTCTTGAGCCTTTTTGCTTATTTTTTTCTCAATTATTCCGGGTACGTCCCTATCGTCAAGACTGTTTCCAGGGATTCGGCACCCATTATTTTTGCTCACATCGAATACGTCCTTGTCGTGAAGACTGTTTCCAAGGATTCGGTATTCATTTTTTTCATTTTTATTCTCTATGCACAATGAGCAATTACAAAGCTATTTGAGGAATAATAATTCAATAAAGCATTTATAGATCAAACCATATGCTAGCATCAATATTGCATATTTGCTTAATTCAAGTAGAATGTAAGTGTCATGCATCATCTCCCTTAAAAGCAATATCTAAACCTCATAAAAAGACTAGAATACATACAAGCTATGCTAGAGACAAATAAACCTTCATAGTATTGCTAGCATGCACAAGAAAATACCATATGTATGGAACAAAGCTCTTTTTTTTTTAATTTTTCTCATTGTCATATTTTTGCTTGATAAAACCATGAGGTACGAAAAACTCCCCCTCAAACAATGCCAAAAGGATTCACGAAAAAAAACACAAACTCCCCCCTCAAATTAACCTCTAATTCTCCCCGAAGAAAAATCAAGAAGAAATCAAAGATTTTGAAAAAGACATCCAATTGCCAATGAAACCACCAAGATTCTTATGAATTGATATTCAACCACTCGTATAAACCAAAACCACTACCTCAAACACTAGCACTTGAAAAGCTAATAAACGAGGAAGTAAAACCAAAGTTATATCAATCAAAAGTAAATTGATGTTACCTTGAAAGCAATCGTCATCTCAACATTGAACGCTCATGGGGAGTATGCCATCAAAATACCTATGAACAAAAAGATGTCGAGGCCTCCGTGTTGGGGTTAGAAATGTAACTACCCCAGGTAACCACGTACCTAGAATGCCACACCAAAATACACTCAAAAACTAAGTCCTAAAATTATTAGAAATTTCGGCAAAATCTCCCCTAAAAATACGGACATCACGACAGGCAGTTATAAGAAAGGTCAATACCGATATAAGCCACACAATCCAAACCATCCTAGCTCCACAAATCCCACGTGAAAAATAAGGATCAGAACCTTAAATGACCTTTACAAGTTCTATGCAAAACTTTTGCTGAGCAAAAAATAGTCTAAAACTAATTTCAATTGTGTGCAATAATAATGTGTAGTCCAAGGGTGCTACTCCCGCCCCATGCCGATCGATGTCATTAGGTACCTAAAAACCAAATTAAACACAAGAGTGAGTAAAGAATACTCAGCAAATACAATCTTGAACTAGTAAAACATACGCATGATTTATGCATTAAGAAACCAATATGAAGGGTTGGATTTACTTTATTTTTAAACCAAAGAAGTCAAAAGATAGTAGTTCCCTCCCGGGCAGGTCTGAATATCCTCTTAGCATTACCGGTAAGCCGAGCAAGCGTGATCAGCGCTTCTCAAGGATCATGAATAAAGACCCAAATTGCACTCCCATGGCTACGCATGGTTCTTGAATAATGTAAACAGAACATCCGGAATAATGAAACATGAATAACGTCATGAATTTGAATATGGGTCGAAACACGAATAAGTAGCATAACGTCAGAGCCATACAATCAGTAATATCAAGCAATTGAATAATAATTATGCAAGTAAAGCCAAACAAAACAACTCAGTTTGTCCATCACATAAGTCTGTCTTGTACTTGCCTTAACTCCTTCGATACTCCGACTCAACTCCTCCAACGTTGGAACCCTTCACACCTGTGGAGCAAAACTACGCATAAACCACTATATTCAACTAACGATGGTTACAAGGGATATTTACTAAAATCGAAACCTAGAACATATAAACCTTTTACCGATTTGTATTAAATAACCTATAGCTGTTCCATTACTGTTTTATGCGTAACTCACAAACCGTCTAACGGAAACTAGCAAATAATACAACTTCAGACATCTAGAAAAAATTCTCTACAACTTTCATGTTGAGCACAAAATCAGATTATGCCTCTGAAAATCCCAGATTAAGGAAAACGAACTACTGTCCTGATTTCCGGACCCGGTCAGCAGTATTGTTTTTGCTGTTTCTCCTAAACCGTTTATCGGAATCGAGTGAAACTAGCACCGTTGGAAAGATATCGACAATGACTACAAACTTTATTTAGGACAACTAACCTGATTCCTGATGGTTTAATACCAGATTTGAAAATACGGTTTCAGCCTAGCGTTCGATATAAAATAAATTCGAAAAAACCGGAAACGGATCGTCTTAAATATAAATTAGAAACAACTATAGACTAAAACGGATTACCTAGCAGTACTAATGTATAAGAAAAACGAAGAATTTGGAAATATTCACCAAATTCCCCAAATTTCCCTTCTTCTATCAAATTTCCCCTTCTTTCCTTCCTTCCTGTTCTTCTCTGCCTTCTCTCCCTCCTTCCTGTTCGTTGCAGGCCAACAGCAGCAGCAGCAGAAACGAATATTGGCAGCAACAGCAAGCCGTGCATCACCAGCAAGGAAGAGATCAGATCGGCAACAGCAGGGATCGGCAGCAGCAGGGAAATTAACAGAAACAACAGTAGCTCACCAACGACCGGCTGTGGACGACGACGGCTGTGGCGACCGGCGACGGCTGCACCAGCGGCGGCGCCGGCGAAGACAGGAATAGCAGCGGCAGCGGCAGAGCGCACGAGGTGCGGCGGCTAGGGCTACAGTAGCGATTCTCCTGTTTTTTTTTTCGTTTGTTTTTTTTGTTGGTTATATAAAGAGACTAAATAAGATCTAACGGCTCACATCTATTTAATCCTCGGGACTTCGTTCGGACTCCGATTACTATAAATTTATAGTCTATTTTGCACTACTCGGCGAGCTCTACGCATCCACGGTTCCCAATCGCCTATACGAACAATGGTTTAAAAGTTGAACTTTTGCGCAATTGCTCTAATACTCCGCGAAATATATTAATTTAAAACTCGGGGCATTACAAGAAATAAGAAATTTTGGAATCCAACACTGAGTCACATGACCAGTAGAACCAGTAGGCACATATGCACTAATAAAATCAGAATCAGACTTACCTGAAAACTTACCTTCATGCTTCACAATAGTCTAACTTAGATTATGCACAAACTTGCCTCGATGCCAATCTGACCGCCACTGTACCTGCGGTCTAACCGGGCCTGGCAGCCGGTCTGACTGCCGGTTCAACTACGGTCTGATCGCGGGCCGGTCTGATCGACTGGTCAGTGTCGGTCTAGCTCTTCTCCTCGAACCAAAACCCGTTTTTTGCCAACGTCATTTCGCAAAAGCAATTTCTCTTTCCTTTTTCTTTTTATGGGCAAGTCTAAATCAAAAACCAACCAAATGTCCATCTTTTCCACAAAAAGAGCAAGTGTACTTCTCACGATAAGTTTGTGAAGTAGATGATTTTAAAATCAATGGTTTTGCAATACATGTAGCAACAAAAGTTTTTGCATGTACAACATTTGATTTTCAAGAAGATGCACTCAAAGTAGACATGATGCCAGCAAATTTAAACATAGCGTTCTTAGGCTCAGTTTCAATCGAAATTTCACCTTTCCCAGCAGTACCCAAAACAGCAGGAGGGTGTCTAGTATGATAAGCATGCTAACTTTGGATTGATCAATAATCATGTTGAGGTTCTTTTTACCATCAGAAAATCTTTGCAAAGAACTTTTCAAGTAAGAAACCTCTTGTTTAAGAACAGCACAATTTTTGCAAGCATCCAAAAGACCTTTTTGTTTTCTACAAGTTGAGCAAGAAAACACCTCATCTTGTTTAACAATTTCTTTCATGTGTTTAACACACCCTAAAGCATCTTTCAACCTCATCTCATTCAAAATACACTTAGAAAAATTTTGAGAAATCAAAACATCTTTGTTTTGTAAAGCCCTATTTGCACATGAAGTATTAAACAAGGAACTTGCACAAAAAACAACTTTGTATTTTCTCAAAACATTCTTTATCAAAATCAACTCATCAACAACACGAGCATGCAAAGCAAATCCAAGAGTAAAAGAAGACTCCAATTTTTTAGACTTTTCAATCTCAGATTCCAATTTCAACCAATTAACAGAATTGACATCTCGTAAAGCGTTAATTTCAGAAAATAAAACTTCACAAGATTTACATTCATCATCATTAGTAACCAAAGATTTTAATCTATCAATTTCAGAATTTAGAATCTCAATAGTGTGATCCTTCTCATCAAGCATAGTAGAACATGTTTGAAGTTTCTTAGCAAATTTGTAAGCAGCATGTTCTAATTGATCATAACTAAGCTTTTCTTCACTATCACTGTCAGATTCATGAACACCAGAACTTGCATTACGAGCAATAAAAGCTAGATCAACAACTTGCTTACCTTTGCTCTCGTCTTCATCTTCTGATTCATCAAAAGCTGCTATGAGTTCTTGGATTAACCACTGCATGCAATTCTTCTTCTTCTCCTTCGTGTTCTTCTTCTTGTCCACTTCAACCTCTTTTACTCTACTATTTTCTTCCTTCTTGCCTCTCCCAAGCTTAGGACAATGTGAACGAAGATGATCAAGTGCACCACACTCAAAACAACGATTAGGACCTCCTCTTTTTCTGTTCCTGACATTGTTCATAGCTCGAGAAACTTTGTTAATAGCTCGAGAAACTTTGTTAGATAACAAAGCCAAGTCCTCCTCCTCAAACTGTTCGAGTTGCTCATCGGACATGGCATTAAATAAAGCAAGTACAGAAGAAGATGATGAAGAAGCACCAACATTCAAAGAAGTCGAAGAAGAAACCAAAGCACTAGACCTAGAATCAACTTTACGAGCAAGAATATTCATCTCATGAGTTTTGAGTTTTGTGTAAAGCGAATCCAAAGTCAAAGTAGACATATCAACAGACTCCTGAATTGATGTAACTTTCATCTACCAAATAGACATATCAAGACCATTCAAAAAGTGACGAGAAACCTCAGATTGTGAATAATTTGCATCATAAGAAGAATCAACAGATCTAAGATCACTCAAAATTTTGTTAAACCTAGAAAGATAGTCATCCAAAGCTTCTCCAGGTTTCATCTCAAATTTAATGTACTCCTTTTTGAAAAGATCACGACAAAGTTCTTTAATATTATTTGTTCCTTGATGAAAGTTTTTCAAAGCTTTCCAAATCTCATGAGCAGTTTCAAGATGAGAGACACGATCAAAATCCGAACGAGAAATCCCACTTAAAAGAATATTGCGAGCTTTGCAATTTTGTTCAAATTCAAGTTTTAAAACAGCAGTATTAATTTGTTCAGGAATCACATAAGGATTAGAAACTTTTCTCCAAATATCAAGATACTCAGGTTGAATATAAGATTGCATCTTACTACACTAATAAGGAAAATCCGTTCCATCGAAAACATCAGGCTTAATTGCAAACTTAAGAGCCATGGCAAAAACTCAAGATCGGTAAAGATCAAGAAGAGCAAACGTGGCTCTGATACCACTTGTAGGATCGAAACACAGGAACTAAGCCAACCTGAGGGGGGGGGTAAATGGTTGGTGTACTCAAAAACCAAAACTTTTAGCGGAAATAAAAGTTCCCCTCAATTTCGATGTAGATCAGTCTGACCGGAGTAGTCCCGTCGGTCTGACCGTGCCTGTGCCGCCGGTTTGACCGATGTAGATTGCCCGGTCCGACCGCCCCAAAGTCTCCTCAGCCTCCTGATGCCGCCGCGGTCTGACCGCCGTATGCCCGCCAGTCTGACCGGACCGATGCCATCGGTCTGACCAGTGGTAACTCGCCGGTTGGACCGCCGCACCTGAGAAAACACAAATCGAAAAACTCTCAAAGTAGATGACAACTTTATTACTTCTCTCTGTGTTTACAAAGTGCACCAATAGCACTTCTTACAAAAATCTTGACTAAACTCGAAAGCCTAACTAAACTATCAACACAATTGTTCTCAAAGCGATACCGGGAAGCCTCATGCTCCCTCTCTATTTATACATGAGATAGACAGCCTAAAGCCACGAACCAAACTCATTCTAGAAGTCCTAATCCCCATAGGAAACCTCCTAGTGCAAGAAACAAATTTTACATAACCAATCATACCAAATTTGGACTCCTTCCAAATTCGACTTCGCATCCCATACGCACACAATACCTCCATCGTATGCCATATGGAATCTTCACCAACCACGTGCATCAACTCTAACCTAAGTATCCCGCATGATATCTGACCACCACGGACATCGTCTTACCACCAAGCCGACTCCCGATCCATCACTGCAAATACTCTCCCGAGGCATCGAGTCAACTACACATGCAATAAACAAAGAAACCATATTTCGAGACCAAGCTATCCCCAACTTGACTCATTGTTAGCAAACAACAGTATCATATACGTATAGTATCCATCTAGAAGCCATAAACATGAAACAATCACGGATATCCAAAGAAACAACCCGAAACCAAAACCGACACAGCGTCGGCCGGTCAGACCGCGGGCTGGCCGGTCTGACCACTCACATAGCGCCGGTCTGACCAGCAACACCTGCCCGGTCTGACCGGACCCGACAAAACAGCAACCCTGTTCATTACCTGAAAATCAATCATCTCCAAAACCACTTCGACAATAATCTCCAAATATCAAAACCAATAATCACAGATGCCAATTATTCATCACAGAATAAGAATCAAAACACACATTGATCTTACATAAACTAGTACATCAAGAATATGCAAGATCGTACTACCTCCATCAATAAACAACGGTATGGGCTTTTGAAAGTAACATTCGATTATTCATCTTAATCAAAAATATAAATTATGTAAGTATTATTTATTTTTTGACCTTTCTTTATTATTAAAAATATTTTAATCATTGCTAATGTTTTTTCATATTTACACTTTTTTTGAAAAAAGAAAAATGATCAAATGTCGTATTCAAAAGTTTTTTCATATTTACACTTTTTCTGAAAAAAAAAGAGTGTATATCATTTAAACTATAAAGGAGGCGACCACCAAAGCAATTCTCATACAAGTAACACTAATGTAAAATTCATCGCCATGCCACAACAGAACCTAAATAATCCACATCTTTAACTCACCATGACACCATTTTTATGAATTTTGGATGGAAGTTCCAGTATGATTTACTTGCGTACAAATCTCGGTTCTTCTTTACTTGCATGAAAATTTCTTTCCGATTTATTTGTTGGGTCCCTACAAATCTGCATTTAGCAGTTACTCTCCTTCCTCAGCCCACAAGCACATGCCACCAGGTCTCTTTCGTTGTTTATGTCATGCCTATGCGGATACACATTTAAGTTGACACATGCTGGTATACAGTTATGTGACGGCACAAGCAACTAGTACATTGGAATTTGGTTCTAATTAAGGATATTTTTCAATTTGTTCATAATTAATTTGGACACAAGCATGCATCAAGCGTGTGCAATATAACAATATATCCGCCTTTAAATTGAGCTACTGACTTTTGAATATAACATTTGATAGTTTGTCTTATTAAAAAAATAGAAGTATCATTTATTTTGGTGCGACTTGTAACACATCTCTAAAGGTATTTTAATGATGACTTACATTTTGCATATTTACATTAACGTTTTGAAAAAAAAATACAAAGGGTCCAACACCATATTCAAAAGTTAATAGCCATGTACTCTAGTTTATATTGGTTGAACTAAAGAGGCCCCACCGAAGTTATTTTCCAATACATGTAATACTAATGCAGAATTCATCACCATGGCACA